CTAAGTCGCAGATCAATTTCATGTTTGATTGACAGTTGACAAACCTTTTTCCTATAAGTATCAGCGTCTATGTATTAATAAAATGTGATAAAACATTGCACTTGCAAGAATATCACAATTTTAAAGCAAAATTTCAAGACTGCAACCAAATCATTCATTTTTATAACAATTATTGACTACTGTTTACCTTTAAGCTGTAAACAGCGGCTCTTAAAACAAGATAAAAATTTTTTTTTTTTTAAATTTAAAGCTAACAATAATTTGACATTGAAAAATGCCTCTTGCCAGAAAGAAAAAAAAAAAAAGAAAAGAAAGAAGATAGAAAAATTTAAACCAACGGCTTTAAAGTTCCATTTTGGTTTGTAAAAAAATGTGAGAAAAACATATGAAACAAAAAAGCACTAACAAAACCTTTACTTTTCAAGTTTACAAATAAGGATTCAAAAACACCTCTCTGCCACGCATTTCAAAAATAATGCTCCATTCTGATCTAAGTCCAGTTTAAAACCCAAATTCTGGTGTTCTTAACTGCTCTAAAACTTTTTAAGCATTTTTTTCTTTGTTTTTTGTTTTTTTTATCCTAACAACGCTCCTTCCATCATTACTTACGTGTTCAAACAAGAAATGTTTCTACAATTGTTCATCACTATTTTGACATCAATACTAAAGTATGCTTTCAAGAATGCCGGACTAGATGGCGTTAAATATTAATGAGTGATAAAACTAAAACTTTCAGTTTTCCCTTAATCTAACGTTTGTTGTCTTGAAACTTCATTTCACACAGTCTTTTCAACAACAACATTTTGAACGCCCAATACGGCAAGAAAATGGATCTACTAAAATGCACCGTAAACTATTGCTGCGACTTATCGTTGATAAACGTTTAACGTTAAGTAAACAACAAAAAAGCATGAAGAATAAAATTAAAAGAGAAGAAGAAAGGAGATAACAAACGAATTCCAAGAAAAAAAAAAAAAGAAAAAAGATTAAAATTTAGACATCTTAAAAAGATTTCTTTTTATTTCCGCTCAACTTAATTACACTTACAGCAGTGTTCTTTGAAGCGCTTGTTTTATCCTATTTTTTATTCCCCTTATTTCCTCCTCTTTTTTTTTTTTTTTTTTTT